AGGATAGGTTGTCTTGAGGGCTGGAGGTTGTCGTGGACGAGTCTGTGGGAAGGGGGCTCATGGTGGGGCGAGTAGTTGCGTGGGTGAATTTGAGAGTGATAAAGGGAGTAAGGCTGATTTAGCGACCACTCTGTTGTTGTGTGCAGGTCCAAATGCCCAGCCGCAAGTTCAACATAAAGATCCCGATGGCTCTTCCAAGCATGCATAGTCCTTGCACGTATCCCAACTTTGTTTCCCCCCCCCCCCCCCCCCCCCCCCCCCAGGCCCCCCAACTAAAAGAAAAAAGAAAAAACCTGCTCCGCACGGGCCCGCGTGGTGTGGAGACCACAGCTCTCCGGGGGCGCACAGAAGCGCGCCGCAAGAGGATCCACTGCACTGCACTGCACCATGTGGAACCCTGTGCAGTCTGGTCCGGCAGTGTCCGGCAGTGTCCGGCGCACGAGGAGGTGCCGGCAGAGCGCACAGCATGCTGCACCACTGAATGTGCTGTTGCAAGCATGGGCCCAATCCAACCCACAAAAACCCATTCAATTGGACCCACAATCCAATCCCAACCCGAACAACAATCAAGCACCATCTCACCCACAACCTAATCCATTTCAACCAGCTCTCTACAATCCAATCCATTCCCAATCAACCTAATCCGCTGATTGAACCCAGCCCTCAATGCAGTCCATCCGATCCATAACCCAAGACAAATCTGATACAGCCTGTGGACCAATCAATCCCCAATCAGATTCGAACTCATCGTCACAGTGGAGGTCAAGTTGATCACAGGACACCGAAGTCAGTTAGTGTCAGTGGTTACATGGAAAAGGGAGAAATAACGATTGCCAATCATTTCCCTTTCCGACTCTTTCTGTTTTCTTTTTTTGGTGGGGCGGGGGGAAGGGGGGGAGGGGGCGTGGGGTGCGGGGTTCGGGTGCGGGGAACAGCAGTATCAGCAGCAGCAGCAGCAGTAGCAACTCTGCATAAAAACTATACCTCACCACACACCAACGTGCAGCCAAAGGAGTACCTCACCACACACCAACGTGCAGCCAAAGGAGTACCTCACCACACACCAACGTGCAGCCAAAGGAGTACCTCACCACACACCAAC